GGGAGAAGAGGGAGGAACTGGGGGACGGTGATGGGGCGGTCGCGGTTTTCCAGGGTCCCCGGGCCACCGGCCGAGGTGTGAGAAGGGACGATGGATCCCTGGGGGGCTGCGGAGCCGGAGCAGACGGTGCTTTTTGAGGGGGACGAGGAGGAGGACACCTACGAACCCCCCGGGATGCAGAGTAAGTGTCGAGGTGGGTTGTGAGGGTTCCTTCAGCCGTGGGAAGGGGATGGAGATCCTCCAGCCATGGGAAGGGGGTGGAGATCTTCCAGTCTTGGGAAGGGGGTGGAGATCTTCCAGTCTTGGGAAGGGGATGGAGATGCTCCAGCCCTGGGAAGAAGGTAGAGATCTTCCAACCTTGGGAAGGGGACAGAGATGCTCCAGCCGTGGGAACGGGATGGAGATGCTCCAGCCATGGGACGGGGGTGGAGATCTTCCAGTCTTGGGAAGGGGATGGAGATCATCCAGCCTTGGGAAGAGGGTGGAGATCTTCCAGTCTTGGGAAGGGGGTGGAGATCCTCCAGTCTTGGGAAGGGGATGGAGATCTTCCAGCCTTGGGAAGAGGGTGGAGATCTTCCAGTCTTGGGAAGGGGGTGGAGATCCTCCAGCCATGGGAAGGGGGTGGAGATCTTCCAGTCTTGGGAAGGGGATGGAGATCATCCAGCCTTGGGAAGAGGGGGGAGATCTTCCAGTCTTGGGGCCTCCAGCCTTGGGAAGGGAATGGAGATCCTCCAGCCTTGGGAAGGGGGTGGAGATGCTCCAGCCTTGGGAAGGGGGTGGAGATGCTCCAGTCTTGGGAAGGGGACGGAGATGCTCCAGACTTGGGAAGGGGATGGAGATTCTCCAGCCGTGGGTGTCCCCTCACCTCAAACAGAGCCCGTGTCCTCGGTCCTACGCCAAGGACGTGCCGAGAAGCTCACAGTTATGAGGTGCACCAGCCCAATCCCCATGCAGCTCCCATGGGAAGGGGGTCTCCGTCCCCGGTAACCCACTCCACCCCGGGTTTGACCCCCATCTTCCATGTCCGTTGTCCCAGGGACCCCGAGCAACCCTGAGACGGATCCCCCGACGGCGGGCGACCCCGAGATCGTAGAGCTGGATACGGCCACCTTGTTGGGTCACCCCGAGGAAGGTTCACCGGGCGAACGCAGCCCGGCACGGGAGACCTTACGTTGGACCGTGGTCCAACAGATCGACTCCCCCGGCGCGGCGGGAGGTCAACGGGGCGGTAAAACCGGAGCGGGAGCCGGCGCCTTCTCCAACTTCAAGAGCATCATCGTGTTGCAGAAGAGTTACGAGTGCGGGGAATGCGGCAAGAGCTTCAGCTGCAGCTCCCACTTCAGCAAACACCGGCGGACCCACACCGGTGAGAAACCCTTCCTCTGCCTCCATTGCGGTAAGAGCTTCAACGTCAGCTCCAACCTCTACCGCCATCAACGGGCTCACGCCGCCGAACGCTCGGGTCCGCCCGCTCCAGCGACGCGCGCCGGTGGCTTGCCGTATAAATGCGAGGAGTGCGGCAAGAGTTTTCGCCGGAACAAGGAATTGGTGACCCACCAACGCTTGCACACCGGTCGTTTGCCCTTCCAATGCCGTCACTGCGGGAAAAGCTTCAGTTGGAGCTCCCATTTCGACCGGCACCAACGGGTCCATACCGGTGAAAAGCCCTACCAGTGTCCGGAATGCGGGAAGTGTTTTAGTCGCAGCTCCCACCTCTACCGACACCAACGCACCCACGCCGGCGGTCGCTCTTACATCTGCACCTATTGCGGGCGTAGTTTCGGTAGCACCCTCCATTTTGACCGCCATCAACGCACCCACACTGGCCAACGACCCTACAAGTGTACCCTTTGCCGGAAAAGTTTTGGCGACGGGCCGGCGTTGGTCAAACATCAACGCCTTCACCTGGGTGATGGGCCTTTCCGTTGCGAAGAGTGCGGTAAAGCCTTCGGCGCCCGCGCCCAGTACGCCCAACATCGCCGTAGCCTCCACGGCGGCGGTGAGAAACCTTACCGCTGCGACGATTGCGGGAAGAGTTTTTCCTGGAGCTCTCATTGGGAACGCCACCAACGGATCCATACCGGCGAACGACCTTACCAATGCGGGGACTGCGGCAAACGTTTCGGCCGGACCTCCCACCTCTACCGCCACCAACGTACCCACGCC